CTAGACAACCCATGATAAGAGAAATAGTTGGGTAATGAAGGCAATACTCTCCAAAGCACTTTTAAAAGACAAGTATTATAGTCCTCATAGTTCATACTCTTACGAAGTCGAGGATTTTGCTCCGAGTCGGAAGTTTTTGGAATGGGACGAATTTGCCCTTCTGGTACATGAGGAGGAACATGATTGACATTTTTTTTTTTACTATTAATTTTTGTCTTAGAATAACAAAGGCCCCGTTCTTCTCGCTAATTCGAGTTTTGTTACAGTAAAAAACTTTCAGAAACAGTCACATCTAACTTTTTTGTTACAGTAAAAAGCTCTCACACAACATCACATCTCAACTCGAATTAGCGAATCGAACAGACTCAAAGACCACATCTTTGAGATTCATAATCAGTCAATGAAGCTATAGGGACGTTAATTCCTTGCACCACAACAGGTAAAACCAATAGTGCTATGGATCCCATGGTTAAAACTAAAGTTATTATTTCTACACCACTCTTTCTCATAGCTTTACTTCTTTCTTGAATTTCTTTTTCTTTTTTTTTTTTTGGTAGGGTTTTCTTGATTTTCATAATCTTAAGCAAAAAGAGAAACATAAGTACTAGATATACAAGAAACTTGAATACTGTTGTGGTTTATATTATGTATGTTTAGTAGTGGCTGGAAGATCAATTAAAATATAGTTAGCGACACTATGTTCATGTAGAGGGACTTTTGTGCCTCCTTAATCCGTGCAATGGTCATTGGCTTACATTATAGAGTGTCCTAAATAAAGTATATCTTCATGTTACAATTTGTTATCCGAAATAAGGCCAAATTTAGTGGGGGCAACTATTCTTTTATTATATTAAGTTATATTATATGATGTGTGTATATATATATATATAGTTATATTATATTATGTGTGTGTATATATATATCTTGTATGCTCTACAGATTTAAGGGGTTACTATTACTAATTACTTTAGTATTCCAGCATTTTCCCTCATTAATTTTTATCTCTTTTCATTCTCGATTCCTTCTCATCATACAACATCTTTTGTTTATTTTTATTTTTATTTTTTTAGATCTCTTTAGACTGCTATTGAACCATTTTTTTAATTCAGTTTTGTTTTATCGCTTTCAGTGTCACATTGAAATAAATTTCTAATATAAAAAGATAACTTCAGAGCGCAAAAAAAAAATAAAAATACAGAGACTAGCGGATTGAAAACAATTTAGAAACTAAACCAACATCTTTTTGATATTTTTATTTTATCATATAAGTTGCATAGATTATTTTCAACAAACGCCATAATAACACATTCTAATTAACTTGCCACACACATCTAGTTAACTTATCCAATGTCCCTTCCCAATATTTTTTTAAGGAAAAAACGAACACAAATTTCAAGGACATAATCACAACTATATTTTGGTAGAAAAGGGAGCCAAGCTGTGAAGAATATTTGTAAGAGAAAATCAAGTGCCGCTCAGAGTAACAATTGCCAGTACTTTAACCTCAACAAATTTAAGCTGCTTTCACTTTGGGAGTTCAAATTATGTGAGTTAGAACTTTTAAATTTGAATCTATATGCGTGTTTTCTGTGGTTCGAATTAGCGTTTAGTAGTATAAGGTATGAACAGAGAATAAAATTTGACCAATGTTTAGTTACATGATTAGAACTGTAAATTTTTAAAAAATGTGAGTGAAAATAGTTGGTGGAAACCTTTGGATTGAGTTTTTAAACAATGAATAGGGTTAGAACCTTAAGAACTAGGACAGAGGGAACAAAGTTAAGTTCAACTTTTAATTTTGAGTTCAAATGAACTCTAAACCAAATTCAAGTTCAAAATGTTATGCAACCAAACAAGTGTTTCGTTTGGTTCACTTCAAGTCACCAGTTGTGTTTTCAAGTTCAGCACCAACACCAGCACCCCCTCCAAGTTTAATGCTACAATAAAATAAATTATTATCCCTTACTTAATAATAAATTTCAAACAAAAATAATTACATCCCCTTCACTTTTACTATTTACAACTCAAGTTTTGATATAAACAAACACAAATTCAAATTAAATTCTCAAATTAAACTTTAACTCAAATGTACATATCCAAACACAAATTCAATTTACAACTTCAACGGAAATTCAGCTTTTAACTTAAATCAAGATCTTTTACTAAAATCACCCTAACTTAAATAATAGAAATTCACCTATGAAAACATAGAAGAACACACCCAAATTGCTGGCTTAAAGAAAGTAAAGGAAATAGGAAGAAAGAAAAGAAAACAAAAAAGCCTACGTTCTTAGAACACAAAACTTTAAATAACCAAAATGAACATTTTGAGGCCGTGTTTGGTAGCTTGTATTATATTGTATTGTATTATATTATTATAATACAATACGGTATTTAGTGTCTTGACGTATTGTGTAAGCGGTAAAAATGTAAAATTTTTAAAATTTTGGGGTCAAAATTTAAAATTTTAAGGTCAAACTGTAGATATTCAAAATTTTTAGATCAAAATATAAATTTTCAAAATTTTGGGATTAAAATATAATTTTTTTAAAGTTTTGGGGTCAGAATGTAATTTTGTACAAAAAATTTAGGGTCAAAATATAATTTTAAATAATATAAATTTACATTTTGCCCCCCTAAAATTTTTAGACAACTATAGGTTCCAACATGAATCTATGTTGGTCCGACCCTGACCTACAATCATTCCCAATCCTGACATAAATCATAGATTCGCTAATAGAAGAATACAATACAATACGCTAAAAATGAGCCGTATGCAATAATACGACATAGACCGTATTAATTTACTTTTTATACTAATTTATACAATACGATGATCACATTAAATATTGGATTAATGCATTATTATACAATACAGTGCTCTAATACAGTCAAACAAACACACTCTGAGAGTAAGGGATCGGAAGGTTCAAAAATCCATGAACTATTTTTTTTAACTTAAAAACAATGGTGAGAGCAGGGGATCCATCAACTAGCAGCAGTTTGAAACCCGCCTGAAACTCACAGGAAAGTGTCGCTAACTAAAAGGACAATCGATATGAATCTCTTATTTATCCAAACTAAGAACAATAAACCAAAAAATTTCAGATCCAACAAGAAAACAAGAACAAGAGAAACTTTCATCCTTCTAGCACCCCCTTTTCCCATTGTCGTGCCGGTTGGTAGTTTCGCTCTCTTCGTCTCTCTTTGATTATACTTATTTTTTTCTCTTTTCTTTTTTAGATCGTGAGGTTTGCAACTTTTTCTTTATTTAAGAAGTTTCTTTACTTCAAATTTTGTGGTAAATGATAAATCATTGTTATTTTATTCTTTTATTTTAGATCACATGTCATACACGTGATCCATTCTGTCAAAAAGTTAACGGAAGTTGACGGAAAGGGATTAACTGCCAACGTTTTGAGAGTTTAAGGATGGCTTGTCAAAATTTTAAAAAAAAAGAAATTAAGGGCTTGTTCATTTGCACCCAAACTCAAAAAAAGTTTGAACTCAAGTTACAACTTTATTTAAGATCATGTTCTTTTGTAAAATTTGAGTTTGAACTTGAGATTTGACTTGAGTTTGGGGCTAAAATCTGAGTTCAAGTTTGCGCTTCAGCTCAAGTTCATAAACTCAAACTCAAGTTAATGAACAATATTTTTTCTATTTTTAAAAACGTCATAATTTTTTTTGTTTTAATTCCGATTGAGATGATTTTTTTCTATGTGTTCACAACGAAGAGACAAATAAAATCCCACTCATATACTCTATTAAAATTTTTCATCACTATTGAGTTTTTATTAAAATACTATCCAAATACAAATTCAAATTTTAATCCACCCAAACACAAACTTAAATAGATTCTCATTTTAAACCACAACTCAAATGTGCACGTCGAAACACAAACTCAAATTAGTGTTCCTACTCAAACCATACTCAAATACACTTTAACTCAAATCAAAATTTAAATTTAAGTGACCTTAACTTAAAAAATTTAAATGAACAAAACCTAAGTATTACTTATTGAACAGTTTAGGATCATCAATGCATATTCTTGATAAACAACTTAAAAAGTTACTAGTCGCTACACCAACTATCTTTCTCGTCAAGGAAATACAAAATAAAACTTACAAAAAAGGTTTAGGGCTTGTTAGATTCGAGTTGAGATGTGATTTTATGTGAGAACTTTTTACTATAATAAAAAAGTTAGATGTGATTGTTTCTGAGAACTTTTTACTGTAACAAAATTTAAATTCTAAACTCGAATCGGTAAAGTGAATTGGACCTTAATTGCTTGATGTGTGCCCTGATCTTGGGAGACAAGTCACAGAAAGACAGATGGAAATTTCAATTTCAAATTTGAGTTTAGGTCCTTGAATACTTTCCAACTACTCACCATTAGCCTTTCACATGCAACATAAAAAGGATAATCAACTTTTCCTTGTCATCGTTTGTCACTGTTTATTGATTAGTATGACTATGTTTACCGTTTCTTTTTAAAATTATCATGATTATTTTTTCGAGTTATATATAAAGGCCCCGTTCACTTCATTAATTCGAGTTTAGAATTCAAGTTTTACTACAGTAAAAAGCTCTCATAAACAATCACATTTAACTTTTTTGCTACAGTAAAAAGCTCTCACATAAAATCACATCTCAACTCAAATTAAAAACTCGAATCAGCGAAGTGAACGGATCCAAAATCTGCACGTGTGCCTAAGATAAATTCAACACTTAGAAGAAAATAGTACATATCATGTAGAATTAATCGTTTAAATTTATTAATTTTTAATAAAATAATAAAAAAATAAATTTGACATTTTATATTTAAAAAATGACCTCAAGTATTAAAAACAATTTTTTAAAACATTAAAAGATTAATTTAAAATTATTAAAAATATAAGATATTAAAAGATAATTATACTAATATGAAAAATTTTAAAATAATAATAATAATAATAAATAAAACCGCCATTCGAATTCCTCAATTCCATTCAAAAAACCAATACAGAAACGGCACCGCTATCTTTCCCTCTTCTTCGACACCCTTCTTTTTCCTCAGCCATGGAAGGCTTAAGCGATGATTTCTCCGACGCATGGCAAGACCCAGACGCTTTCCTCTCCCAGAGTCAGTCCCTCTCTTCTTCCTCCGAGACCTACATGCTCGGCTTCGTCATCGCCAACATCGTCGGCATTCAGTACTACTCCGGCACCATCAGCGGCCGCGAAATGGTCGGTCTTGTCCGCGAGCCTCTCAACCCTTACGATTCCAACGCAATCAAAGTCCTCAACACCCGAATGGTTCAGGTCGGCCACATTGAGCGCACAGTCGTCGCCGTCTTAGCTCCGCTCGTCGACTCGGGCTCGATTGTGATTGAAGGCATTGTGCCGAAGAAGCGGGCTTCGTCCAACAGGTTCAGAATTCCCTGCCAAATCCACATCTTTTGCCGCTTCGAGGCCTTCTCCGACGTGCGATCGGCGGTTATGCGAGGCGGGTTGATGCTGATATCGGACTCCGACGTGTCGTTCGGGCTCTCAGAGGCGATCGTGGTCGAGGAGAGGAAGGCCAAGAGGGGGAACAGGAGTGTGGACAAGATTTTCAAGCTGGTGGATGAGGGTTTGAGCAAAAAGGGAAAGTTGCGAGCTTTGGAGCCGCCGAAGGAAGTGATCAAATCGGAGCTTTTTGCGCATCAGAAAGAAGGTTTGTGGTGGTTGGCTCACAGAGAGAATTCTGGGGAATTGCCTCCGTTTTGGGAAGAGAAAGACGGGTCTTATGTTAATGTGCTAACAAATTACCAATCGGATTCGAAACCAGAGCCTTTGCGAGGCGGGATTTTCGCAGACGATATGGGGTTGGGTAAGACTCTAACTTTGCTTTCCTTGATAGCTTTTGATAAATATCCTAGTGATCTTCCATTTCCAATCAGTAGTGGCAGTGGCAATGTGGATAAAGTTGATGAATTTGGTGAGGAATTAGGTGATGAAGTTTCTGTTTCTAGTGGTAAGAAGGGTAAGAGGAGTAGGCCAAGTAAGAAAACTTCGGGGTCGAGGAAAAAACGTAAAATTTATGATACCATTTTGGACAAAGACACAGAAGGAAAATCTGGTGGTAAGACTACCTTGATTGTATGTCCTCCTTCTGTGTTTTCGACATGGATAACGCAGTTGGGAGATCACACCAAGCCTGGTAGTTTTAAGGTGTACATGTATTATGGCGATAGGACTGACAATTTTGAGGAGCTAAAGAAGTATGACATTGTTTTGACAACATATAGTACTTTGGCTACTGAGAGTTCTTGGTCAAAGTCTGCTGCGAAGGAGATGAACTGGTGGCGAGTTATTTTGGATGAGGCACACATGATTAAGAATGCGAATGCTCTGCAAAGTCGAGTTGTTTGTGATTTGAAGGCTAACAAGAGGTGGGTTGTTACCGGAACGCCCATTCAGAATGACTCGTTTGATTTGTTTTCTTTGATGGCATTTCTGCGGTTTGAGCCATTTTCGGTTAAGAGTTACTGGCAGAGCTTAGTCCAGCGTCCACTTGCTCAGGGGAACGAGAAGGGGCTATCGAGGCTTCAGGTAATCTACGTCACAGTTTTCACATCCTCTGACTAGTATGTAGGGTTGCAGATTTTTATTTTTGATTTTTGAATTCTTAAAGCTAAATAGCATCCATTCACCTTGCGCTTGGTTATTTGCATGGTAATGTGCTTCTTAAGTGGTGATTATCTTTCTTCTGTTGCAAACAACTTATGACATAATACAATCTGTAGATAAAAGATTAGTTTCTTTTGTCTAAGTGCGTAACTATTACAATTATTAATTGGAAACTTATTCTCCCCTTTCTGTTTTGAGTAAAGGCAAACATTATAGTATTTTCATTTTCCCGTTCTTGCCTTGAGAACACTATTTACTGACACGTTCTGGTCAAATTACTTCTCTTGATAATGTATTTATTTTTTCTTTTCCTCTTTTTAATCCTTGTGTTGTCCTAATGTTTAACGAGGAAATGTTAAAAAGTTTGAGTGGCCTGATTTATAACATCACTGAAAGGTTTTCATTCAAATCACAGTTAACCATGTTTAACAGGTGTAGATTGTGGGTGAAAGTTGGAAATGGATGAATGAAATTATGTAAATATGTACCTATATATATTATCTTTCTTTACGTAATTCCTAGCATTCATGATGGTGGGAATGTGTGAATGAAATAAATTTAACAAAAATAGTATGTTTTTTTTATGCATACTGATTTGAAAAGTTTGCTTCTAATTTAACTGTTTTCAGGTTCTAATGGCAACCATTTCCTTGCGAAGAACAAAAGACAAAGAACTGATAGGATTGCCATCGAAAACCATAGAGACTTGTTATATAGAACTTTCTAGGGAAGAACGTGAAGTGTATGACCAAATGGAAAGAGTCGCAAAGAATGTTCTACAGGGTTACATTGATGCTGGTAGTCCAACATCCAACTATACAACTGTACTCAGTACGATCTTACGACTTCGCCAAATCTGTATTGATCTAGCCCTGTGCCCTTCAGATATCAAATCCTTGCTCCCTTCTAACAATATTGAAGGTACCATATATAAGAGGTCATGTTTATTTTTGTTTTCATTGTTTTTACGTGCTATTACTTCGTCACTAAATTCCACAAATTCTTAAATACTATTTGTACTGTCCAGTTCTGTCAGAAGTAGAATGTTCTTCTGAAATTTATATCAGGATTTTCTTTATTGTACGATGTTGCATCGTATTATACTCTATTGTTGCATCATATTATACTCTATTGTTGCCAATGAGTTGTGTCCAGATCATGTGTGTCCTCATATGGTATTTTGAGTGCTTTTGTGCTAAACTCGTTGATCTACAGTGCTAAAGTGTCAATTGATATCTAACTATGCTGACATCTTAGGCGTCACAAAATTTTGGTTGAACATCCATAATGTCTCTCTACAACAACGACAACAATAACAAACCTTAATCCCAACTTAATTGGGGTCGGCTATATGGATTTCACTTTTCCATACGGCTTTGTTTGAAATTATACTTTCCTGAAGGCCTAGATCTAGAATGTCTTTCCTAACGACTTCGGTCCATGTAATTCTTGGTCTACCCCTCCCTCTCCTAGTATTAGGTATAAGAATGTCTTCCCAAGCACGAACTGATGCTTCTAGCGGTCTACGTTGGACATGCCCGAACCACCTCAAGCGGCCTTCGCGCACCTTATCTTCTATTGGTGCTACACCTACTTTACTACGAATAACTTCATTCCTTATGCGGTCCATTCTCGTATGGCCACTTATCCATCTTAACATACGCATTTCTGCCACACTCATCTTAGATATATGTTGTCTCTTAATGACCCAACATTCACTACCATATAACATAGCTGGACGGATTACAGTCATATATAACTTTTGTAGGAATATTCGGTTATTACCCAATATCAATCATTCCATATTTGGAATGATTGACTTATTGTATTTCCCGGTTACTTTGGGAAGTTAAATGGGATCATGGTGTATAGCAGATTTTTAGGGATGTTAGTTTCTAGTTTCCTTTTGTTCCGTAGACTAGTTTCCCTTTTCCTGTTGAGGAGGCCTTTGTATATATATATGTGTTGTATTACTCTCTAAATGATATAGAAGAAAAAGTGATTCTTCCTCCAAATTTACTTTTATGGTATCAGAGCCATACTCTTAAAAAAAAATTGTCTTCTCGTCTTCATCGTCTTGACCGTGGTTCTCACGACAATGAGTTCAGAGAAGGAGACAACCAATTCTGTTATGGATGTGTCATCATCTACCACATCCGACCCAATCACATCGTCCGTGGTTGTGCAGTCCTTTGGAGAAGGGTCGTCACTGCAGATCACGAATCACAAGTTGAACGGCAAGAATTTCCTCCAGTGGTCCCAATCGGTCTTGATGGTGATCAGAGGGAGAGGAAAAATTGGCTACATCACGGGTGAGGTTCGGCGTCCCGATACAACGGATCCGACCTATGGAATTGGGAACTCAATAATTCCATTGTTATGGCATGGCTGATTAACTCAATGGAGCCATATATCAGCTGCACCTATTTATTTCTTCGCACTGCCAAGACCATATGGGATGCTGTAAGAGAGAATTATTCGGATCTCGAAAATGCCTCACAAGTTTTTGAGATAAAGAATAAACTCAAGGATATTCGGCAAGGAAATTTGGATATCACCGAATATTACAATATGTTGCAGGCCCTATGGCAAGAATTGGATATGCACTATGAAGCGGACTGGGGTGATCTTGAAGGCAACGTAAAGTTTAAAAGACATTTAGAAAAGGAACGGCGGTATGATTTTTTGGCTGGGCTAAACAAAGAACTTGATGAGGTACGAGGATGAATTCTAGGCCGGAGACCACTACCTTCCATTGGTGAAGCTTTTGCAGAAGTACATCGTGAAGAGAGCAGACGCTGAGTGATGCTTGGGGAAAAAAAGGACTCATCTGTGGTCTCTATAAGTGAAAAACCTGCTGAGAACACTGCTCTTATCACGAAAAGTATGGTTAACAGACCATATGGTGATCAAAAGTCGACTCAGCGCCCACGATGCTCTCACTGTAACAAACTTAGCCATACCCGAGAATGATGTTGGGACCTCCATGGAAGACCTGCCGATGCAAAGCCAAGGAAACAGCCTCAAAGCAAGGGATTTCAAGCTGCTACAGAGGAAAAATCAGAAGACACCAACAACAGCAACAGTGAGTCAACTGGAGTCTTCTTAAACAAAAACCAATTTGAACAACTGTTCAAGCTTCTGAGTCAGCAAACCATGATTAATCCTAGCACAGCAACAAGTAGCTTTGCTCATCAAGGTACTGCTTCATGTAGAAAATCCAATTCCTTGGATATTTGACTCTGGCGCATCCGATCACATGACAGGTAACCAATCTCTTTTTTACTCCTATACTCCATGCCATGGGAGCTCAAGAGTAAACATTACAGATGGAACCTTCTCTTCTGTTGATGGAAAAGGATCTATCCGCTTATCCGACACACTTGTGCTTCATTCTGTACTCCATGTCCCAAAATTAGCATGCAATCTGGTGTCTATTAGCAAGCTCACTCAAGACCTTAATTGTACTGCTAATTTTTCTATTACTTGTCAAATACAGGAGCAGGGATCGGAGAAGATGATTGGCATTGCTAAGGAGAATGGCGGACTCTACTACTTTAAGAATGATGAAACCGTGGATAAACAAGCTACGATAGCCGAGAATATTTCTTCTGCTTCCAATAAAGATGTAATGATGTGGCATTGTAGGTTAGGCCACGCCAATTTTCATTATCTCAAACATTTGTTTCTAAATTTATTCATTAATAAAAATCTCAGTTCCTTTCATTGTGATATTTGTCAATTGGCCAAACACACACGTACATCATATCCAGCCAAACCATACATAGAGTCTCATCCATTCACCTTAATTCATAGTGATCTTTGGGGACCCTCCCGTGTAAAAAATGTCACGGGAACTAGATGGTTCATTACGTTTATCGATAATCATACCAGAGTATGTTGGGTCTATCTTTTTAAAGAAAAAACTGAGGTTTCAAGAATCTTCCAAAATTTTCATTGCATGATAAAAAATCAATTCCAAACCTTAATTAAAATCTTGAGAACCGACAATGGAATAGAGTATTATAAATCTATCTTAAGTGATTATCTAGCAACTAATGGTATCATTCATCAGAGTTCTTGCACTGATACACCACAGCAAAATGGTGTAAACCATGATTAATCCTAGCACAACAACAAGTAGCTTTGCTCATCAAGGTACTGCCCTTCATGTAGAAAATCAAATTCTTTGGATATTTGACTCTGGCGCGTCCGATCACATGACAGGTAACCAATCTCTTTTTTACTCCTATACTCCATGCCATGGGAGCTCAAAAGTAAAACTAGCATATGGAACCTTCTCTTCTGTTGCTGGAAAAGGATCTATCCGCTTATCCGACACACTTGTGCTTCATTCTGTACTCCATGTCCCAAAATTAGCATGCAATCTGGTGTCTATTAGCAAGCTCACTCAAGACCTTAATTGTACTGTTAATTTTTCTGTTACTTGTCAAATACTGGAGCAGGGATCGGAGAAGATGATTGGCATTGCTAAGGAGAATGGCGGACTCTACTACTTTAAGAATGATGAAACCGTGGATAAACAAGCTACGATAGCCGAGAATATTTCTTCTGCTTCCAATAAAGATGTAATGATGTGGCATCGTAGGTTAGGCCACCCCAATTTTCATTATCTCAAACGTTTGTTTCCAAATTTATTCATTAATAAAAATCCCAGTTCCTTTCAGTGTGATATTTGTCAATTGGCCAAACACACGTACATCATATCCAGCCAAACCATACATAGAGTCTCATCCATTCACCTTAATTCATAGTGATCTTTGGGGACCCTCCCGTGTAAAAAATGTCACGGGAACTAGATGGTTCATTACGTTTATCGATAATCATACCAGAGTATGTTGGGTCTATCTTTTTAAAGAAAAAACTGAGGTTTCAAGAATCTTCCAAAATTTTCATTGCATGATAAAAAATCAATTCCAAACCTTAATTAAAATCTTGAGAACCGACAATGGAATAGAGTATTATAAATCTATCTTAAGTGATTATCTAGCAACTAATGGTATCATTCATAAGAGTTCTTGCACTGATACACCACAGCAAAATGGTGTAGCAGAAAGGAAAAATCTTCATCTACTTGAAGTTGCTAGAGCCTTAATGTTCACAATGCTTGTTCCAAAATATCTCTGGGGAGAAGCCATCTTAACAGCCTCTCATCTTATAAATCGTATGCCATCAAAGATTCTCCAATTCCAAACCCCTATGTCTGTTCTTCTACAAACCTACCCAATGTTTCGATCTTTTTCCTCGGTTCCCCTTAAAATCTTCGGTTGCACAACATTTGTTCATATTCACTCTCAACATCGTTCAAAACTTGACCCAAAAGCAACCAAGTGTGTTTTCATTGGGTACTCTTCCACACAGCGTGGGTATAAATGCTACTCACCTTCCTTTCGTCGTATGTATGTGTCAATGGATGTTGCCTTTCATGAAACTCAACCGTATTTCCCTATGTCCCATCTTCAGGGGGAGACTCTAGAAGAAGATGGATCTTGGGAAGAATTTGATCCGCAAACACCTATGCCCTTGCCACCACCTACTTTACCTAGTCTACCCGAGCCTACTGAGCCTATTATGCCACAACTTGACCAAGAAAAAGTATTGGAAACAGGGGAAGATAACTCTCATAACTCCAAAAAATCCCAGTTGCTTGTTTATTCACGCAGGAATCGTTCTCAAGATAGTAGCAAGCCTGATGCCCAGCAAGGTCAGAAGTCTGAACCGGTCCCCCTCCAAGGTTCTGAGTCTACTAGTAGTCCTGTTGATGTAGACTTGAGCAACACTTCAGATATGAATCAGCCTATTGCTCTCAGGAAAGGTACAAGATCATGCACACAGCATCCAATTTCAAATTTATCTCATATGAGAAATTGTCTCCCAACTTTTCAGCCTTCACTACGGCT